CGCGGGTGCAGCGGTACCTGGCCGTGCTCCCGCTCGCCTCCCCGTGTGGCACTGCAAGGGCTGGGTGCAGAGGACTCTCACAACAAACTGCTCCAGCCCATGGCCCAGGCCCAGAAGGGAGGCCAGGACACACACTCCCTGGGAGTCCCATCCCTCCAGAGTCTGCGAGGGCAGGAAGAGGCTCTGGGGCTGCTCTCTGGGTTTGGGGAGCAGTAGTTCCCCCCTTTGCTGTGTGAGCGCTTTTAAAAAAGGCAGAGCGGTCACCCAACAAACCTCTGCAGTGCTGCTCCTGCTCATCAAAGGCTTGGAAAGCCTTCACAGAACCATTCAACTCATGCCTTACAAGTGACTGCACAAAAGAAGCTGGCTTTGTGTCAACACACGCAGGCAGCCAGCAGCAAAGGCCTGGTGCAGCTGAGCTGCCGGGACGTACCTGTGCTCACCGACCCTTTTTATCAGATCTCTGTCTCAGAGGCAGGCTGAGCCTCCAGTGCCACCACGGGACAGGGTGCAGCACAGACACACAGCCCCTGCTCACAGAGCCCCTCTGGCAACGTAAACAGCCCTGCAGCCCACAGAGGGGCTGAAAGTTGCCCACCAGAGACACCGCCCGGGAAACAAGGGAGCCAAGCAAGGGCCTGAGCTGTGGGGGTGCTCGCACCTCTGAGGAGCTTTCTCCTGCATGGGTGAGGCTCAGGGACAGCTGGCACAGAGGCCAAGCTCCTCAGCCTCAGCCAGCAATCAGAGGGACACAGTAACACTCAACCAAGAAAGGTTACGACCTGGTGGCCCCCCAAGAGGCTGGGGAACTTCTTATCGCTCACGTGGTCCAGCCAAACAAAGCTGGCTAATGCCTTATCTGCTCCAGCCCTTGCCAGCCCTGTCCCAGCAACCCTTCTAGCTCAGCTCAGCCAGACGTGTCCCAGCTGGGACTGCAGTGCCAGGGGTGAGCCCAGCCAGCACCCTGCAGGGGAGTGAAGTGACCACTGTTTCACCTCACCAGGCCATGCCAACAGGTACAGGGGCCAGAAACACTGGCAGAATGACATCAGTACTGCCTGAGATGCTTCAGTGTCCAGCCTCCTCCTCCTCTGGGAACTAACCTGGTCCCTGGAGAAGGCCGTGAAGAGTGTCAGGAAGCCCTTTGCCACCAGCTCTTCCCACTCCTCCTGGCAGAAGAAGTCCATGGATTTCTGGCGGCAGCCGAAGAACAAGCAGTTCCCTGCAGAGAGCAGACCTGAATGGCCATGCTGGGAGGAGCAAATGCCCTGTGGGCACTGGGGACCACTGGTGCCCACAGGACTTGTGTCAAAGCCCCCAGGCTCTCATCTCTCTGTTGTGCCTGCTGACAGCCCTGAAGAGCCAGGAGCCATGTGAGCGTGAAGCCAAGTGACCTGTGGCAACCAGAGGCCCCTGTGTGCTAGGAAAGCAGGAGGCAGAGGGCAGGTAGAGCAAGAAAAGCCCCACGGGTCTGCCTGCTCCACTCCACAAGCCTCAGCTTCCTGCCGAGTCACAGTGGAGCTGGGGGAATGAGGACAGGGCAAGGACAGAAGCACAACTCCTTGTGCAGCAGCAGCAGAGCTCAATAACTGTAACAACCTCCACAGAGCTCGACCCAAGGAGCAGAGCCTTGTGTCCTTGGGAACAGCCAGGGGCTGCACATGCCACAGGCTCTGGTCCCCACTCCACAAGCCTCAGCTTCCTGCCGAGTCACAGTGGAGCTGGGGGAATGAGGACAGGGCAAGGACAGAAGCACAACTCCTTGTGCAGCAGCAGCAGAGCTCAATAACTGTAACAACCTCCACAGAGCTCGACCCAAGGAGCAGAGCCTTGTGTCCTTGGGAACAGCCAGGGGCTGCACATGCCACAGGCTCTGGTCCTCACCTCCCCCAGTGCCCAGCCTGCTCCCACTCAAACACTGCAAAGTCTGGGCCTGCCCAAACTCTCAGGAGCCTCCAGTCCCTTCTGCCCCTGTGCTGAACACAGACCTGTCTGCAGCGAGGGGCACCCCTTGCGCCCCCATGACCACCCCTTGTGCCCCCACGACCACCCCTCATGCCCCCATGACCACCCCTCACCTCTCCGCCCTTGTGCCACCCTCTCCTGTATCGCTGCTCGGAAAGGTGCCACCCCTGTGCCAGGGCCAATCATGATCACGGGGGTGTCAGGGTCTGCTGGGAACTTCATTCCTCCTTTCTTCACCCAAAGAGGCACCCGGACATCACCTACAACACAAACAGGCTGCCTAGCACCACGCCAGCATTGCTGCACCCTGTGGAGGGTGAGCTGGGCAGCCAGCTCTGCCAGGATGCTCCAAAGATACAGACAGCTCCCAGCTTCCCAACACCCATACACCCAGGCACCCTGGGTGCCAAGGGCACGCTGTGAGTGTGTGGAAAGCACTTCAGAAGCCTCAGCACTGTTGCTGCAAGCACCCGAGTGAAGCCCAGACGAGGCAGGAGCCCCACAGCACACGGCCCAGGGGACAGGCTTCTCCTCACACAGCCAGTGCCAGGGAGGAGAGCCATGGATGTGAGCTGGGATCTCACCCTGGCTCCTGAGTAAGGAAGGGCTGAACTTGTCTCCTCTGGGAGTCAGCACAGGGGTGAAGATCCCCATTTAGGTACTGTGAGAAGACCCAATCTTGCCCCGGCCTCATACAGAGGGATTCTCTACTATCCTGCAGCAGGGAGACCCTGTGAGCTTGTCACACTTGCCTGGGGACCCAGCCAGAGGGGTTTTGAGGTAGACCAGATGAGCAGCACACACAGGCTTTGCAGGACATCATGGAACCTCCTTTCCAGAGCTGGTGCTGTGGGGCTGGAGATGTCCAGCAGTCAGAGCACTACTGGCTCCAGGACACCAGGAGCAGCCCACTGTGGGACTGCAGGGCACACTGGCATTGGGAACAGGAGGGTGAAGGAGCTGGGAGACAACCAGGACCTCAGGGGTGCTCAGGGCAAGCTGGAGGAGCACACCATGCTCTGAAGAGGGTGGCAGTGGTGAGGAAGGACCCACGTTCACACTGGGCCAAGCCAGAGTGCTGCAGTTCCCTGCAGTGGTGGTGCTGCACCCAGGGTCCAGGCAGCTCCAGTGCACGCCCAGCACACACACACAGCTCCACCACAGGCCGTGGGCTCAGCGCTGTGTGCTGTGGCAAGCACACAGGGCTCCCACAGAGCCCAAGGAGTTACCTTGCTCTGGGTTGAGAGAAGCCAGCCAGGCAGAGCAGAGACCACGGCGGGGCTTGCTGAGCCGCGTCTTGTACCGCACGACGGCCACGAGGATCTGGATGCGGTCAGGGTGAGCCTGTGCCCAGACAGCAGCCATGAGAGATGAGAAGACACCCAGCACAGCTCTGCAGAACAGCCCTGTGCCTCCTCCAGGCACACAGCTGTGCCCAGCTCATGCCAGGGTGTCTGCAAGATTCATCCCAGCCTGAAACAGCCACGGGGACAGAGAATGGAGCACAACCCTGCCCTAAAAGATACGATCACTTTGGTTGGAAAAGACCTTGAGTCAAACTATTAACCCTACCCTCCCAAATCCACCTCTAAGCCATATCCCCAGGCAATATACACCCGATAGGGAAGGTGGTTTTCCCAAAGAAGCATTCCTGTGAGAATGCTCTGCACAGTTGGAAACTGCCAGACACTGTCCAATCCAAGAGGCCCCCACGGAGGGCAAATGCCACTAGTGCTTGGGCTGACATCTGCCAAGCCACCCGGGCCAGGTCCCAGTGCCACCTCCTGGCAGCAGCAGGAAGCAGCACTCGCCTTTCCCACGGCCACAGCACACAGGGATGCTCCCAGCCTCTGTGGCACCACCTCCCACTCCTCCCCGTGACAAGGACACCAGAGCTCTAAGGTGCACTGGGCCAGCCTCAGCACCTGCAGGGCTGCAGGAGGGCAAGTGCCCCAACTCGGAGGCTGGCACAGCCCTGGCACATCCAGCACTCGACCTGCCACACGCTCGCAGCAGACTGGGGGTTTGAGGAGGCTGTGGGTGCTCAGAGGGTCCAGGACCACAGCCTGACCATCTGCAGCATGCATGGCACCAGCTGTCAGCCCTGGCCCTGTCAGAGCCTCAGCTCAGAGCCCAACAGGAGCCCGAGAAGGGCCGAGCTCTCACCAGCATGGAGGAGGCGATGGAGAAGGCGCGGGGTCTGATGCGGGGGATGAGGTCCAGCAGGTAATCGGGTGGGATGGCACACGTGGTGTGAGGGAAATCCCAGAGGGCCTGCAAAGCCAAGGCAGCTGAGCCCTGGAACACCCCAGAAGGCAGCTGCCTGCTTCTTGGGGTGTCAGGGGCCGTCGACAGAAGGCACCACACCGGGTACCTCCAAGCACCACCCGCCCCGTCCCACCGCCCTCCCCTCAGCCCCAGGCTGCAGCACCCACCACAGAACCCAGAAGGGTTTGGAGCACATCTTAACCACCAGTGGAAATCCAAGGACACTTCAGAAAGTGGGTGAAGCAGATTAAAATTCCCCAGCCATGACAGGAGGGCTGATCCTCTGCCCCGGCACGTGGTGGTGGCACGGCACAGCCCTGCCAGGGCAGGGTGCCCCAGCCTCACCTCCAGCGTGGTCCTGCGGGGCCGGCTGCAGTAGCTGTGGAGCTCCTCCTGGCCCTGGGCAGAGCTGAACTCCTGCAGCTTCTCCCGCTCCAGCTCGCTCGGAGAGAAGTAGGACAAGAGCTGGAAGAAGGAGCGCCGTGGCACACAGGAGATGTCCAGGTAGTGGGTGACCAGGTGCCGGATGGTGCAGGGCTGTGGCAAGAGGGCAGGGAGGGGTGTGCCTGCAAGGGAGGGCGGCGGGCAGGGCTCAGGGCCTGCAGCCTGTCCCCACGGCCCTGGGTTCCCCGGGCAGCCAGACGAGGGCAGCCCCACTGCAGGAGTGTGCTGGTGCAGCCAGCTGTACCTACTGCCATTGCTGCTGCCCTCACCAGCCCCTGCTCCCCCCTGCTTGCCCCAGCTTGCTTTTCAAGCCCAGAGCTCTGCAACAGAGACAGGCAGCAGCGTGGAGCTGTCCCTCACTTAGCACCAGGGGTTTAGGGCAATGCCTTATCCACACAGGTCCTGCCTTGCCCACACACTGCAGAGGAAATAACCAGCAGGGTCCTATGTTAGGCCTGTCCTCATCTTCTGCTTCTCTCCTAGGGCTGTGAGAAGCAGCCTCAATTTTTCTTGGTTTTGCCCACCAGGCAAAAATCCCAGCACTGACAGACACATGAAAGATTGAGAGGGAAATGGCACTCAAGGGACAGGAGAGAAAACTCCTGCAATACCACAGGATCATCAAATCGTGGAACACTTTGGGTGGGGAGGGACCTTTCAAGCTCATCTAGTGCAACCCCCCTGCAGGGACAGGGAAATCTGCAGCAGGAGCAGGTTGCTCCGAGCCCCGGCCAACCTCACCTGGGATGGTGCCAGGGATGGGGCAGCGACCACCTCTCTGGGCAGCCTGGGCCAGGGGCTCATCACCCTCAGCACAGAAAATGTCTTCCTTCTCTATAGTCTGAATATCTCCTCTTTTAGTTTAAAATCATTACCTCTTGTCCTGTCCCAAAAGGCCCTGCTCAAAAGTCTGTCCCCAGCTTTCTTACAGACCTCTTTAAGGACCAGGAGGCTGCAAGAAGGTCTCCCTGGAGCCTTCTCCACGCTGAACAACACCAACTCTCTCAGCCTTTCCTCACAGCAGAGATGTTCCAGGCCTCTGATCATTTCCAAGGCCTCCTCTGGATCCACATGGATGCAGATGGTGGAGCTACCAAGGGCTCTGAGGGGTTTCTCTAGTTGTTGGTGCTGGTTTGTGGCTACAGAAGCACCTGCAGTAGGTCCCTGGGGTGCAGGCAGAGTGGGCAGACATGCACATCCCAGGCAAGGAAGTGCACAGGCTTCCCAGCTTGGGGCTTAGGAAGCTGCAGGATCCCCCATGCCCTGTGCTGGGGGCTGCAAGGACACGAGGCAGGGGTGCAGCCTGGACACTGCTGGAGTCCTCCCACGTGTTGCCCTGGCCCTAACATGGGATCTACACACGCACAGCACCGGGATGGAAGGACTCCCCACACTGTGGTACAGCCAGATGTCCTGTGTCCATCAGCCACTCTCAAATCCCTAATAACCAGGTTGACATCCAGGGAAAGGCAGAGCTCCAGGCTGGGCTGGAGCTCTGGGGCGGCCCTGGCCCAGCAGGGAGGGACAGGAGCAGCGGGCAGGACCCACCTGGCTCCGTGGGCTTCAGCACAAACTGCCTGTCAGGGTCCAGGCGCAGGAGCTGGCAGAACTGCTGCACGTCTTCAGGGCAGTTCTGGGGCTGGATCATCACCACGTCCCCCGCAGAGAACCTGGGGGCGCAGCGGGACCTGCCGCGCACGGCCACGGGCAAGGCACTGCCA